AACACCTAAAAGAAATTTATTTTAATTTGTTTACAGTAACTTGAAGTACCATCTATTAACGCCTTTCTTTGCTTTTGTATTTTAGCAGCAAACAAGCCTGTTCTAAGAACAGGAATCAAGGCTGCACGAATTTGGATGAACGTGCTCGCCAACTATTTCTCTTTCAAACAATTCCTAACTTCCCATAAGAGCACTCGCTTAAGTTCTTAGCACCCCGTGAAGATTCGAAGGAAATATTCTTACCTAACTCTTACCTTGAATGAAGGCAATACCGAGCAGCTCCGACTGAAGAATTCTCTCCTTTTGCAGACGGAATAACTTTCACTTGGATAACAACTGAAAACACGAAGACCTAAAGAAAACAAAACAAAACAAAACAAAGCGAAACCAAACGTCGATATGATTTAAAACTACCATTTTTAAGTGCTACACTGGTCAAGTTTCATTCACCTTCTTTTGGTATCGTGTCTCGGATCAGGAGAACATAGTGAATAATCTGTTCTACGGATAGTGGTTGGTCAGTTACTTAATTTAGCGCATTGCTGAAACGGGGTTAGTCCTGAATGGGCAAGGCGTTATTGACATATAATCAGGGAGGCAGGGAAATTGCACAAATATTAGGGAATGTTGCTTACTCTTCCTCTTGTGCGCTACTGAAAACCAGCGTTTGCGCCTTAGACATGTCGCGGGAACTTATTTATTGTGTAAACATCGATCATATCACACATAAATATTTCCTGATCTGTCCGTGCAGAACTGACCTCGTTTCAGCGCAATGATATGGATTAACTAAAAACTATTGTTCATAGTGAGCAGAAACCGGCGTCGTAAAACAAATCTTTTGCCGACTTGTCCCGTTCTGAGACATGATATTAGGAGAACGTAAGTGCTACTAAAGTGAAATAGTAATTTACAATGAGTGTTTTTTTTTACCAGGTTATAGTCCGGGTTTTGCTCTTTTATTGCTTTTTTTTTTTTAAAACTGTGTTTTACGTTCTTTATTTCGACTTTCCCTTTGAATTTTCTGGAAGGTAAAGATGACCTCTACAAAGGCACGCCACGTTTTCAGTGATAGAAGCGTTAGATTAAATCCAAAGCGATTGTTATGCAAAAAAAAATCCAGTCACAAAGTTATTCGCGTGCCCGTACATGATCTATCTCAAACTACTATATCCTTCAATGGGAATTTGTAAATTTAATTTTCTCAGCTGCTTTCGACAGCAGTTTTCCTTTTTCCCAACATCTCTGTCTCCACTGTGTCATCGGCTTGTGGATGTCACGTGACAGATTTGGAAGGCAGCCATGCATACCTGCACGATTCTTTGAGTGAACACGAAGGTTGCCATTCGTGATCGTATACCCAAATTAATCTTTTTCTTTAAGTTTTTCAGCAAATAGCTTCATGTGCTGCTTGTTTTGGCGCGATTTATATTTTATTTGCGAACAGATCATTAATGTAAAATGTTCTCCATTTCGCTTATTGCTCTACTTGTTTGTTGATGTTTTAATTACACTCTTGCTTAGGGACTATTTTTTAACAAGACCATGAAGGTCATCTGGCACCTTTGTACGCTGTTCATTTTGACGTTGATTCACAAGAAAAGTGCACAAGTCAATAGAGGTACGAATGTCTAAAAACTTGGAATGTTATCAACATTTCCAATCGACTGGTCGAGTCTGTTAAACTCGACGATTTGCGATTCTTCCTTTTTGTTCTGTATCGTATTCTTTTTCTTCACCCTCCATAATAAGTCATAAAACTTCACGTTCGCCAGCAAATGGCGCAAGTAGCGACTCCCCGAAAGTAACGATGCTTGTAAAGTAGCGTTCTCAAACACAGCTTTGCCTCTTAGGAGAAACAATGCGGAAATATATATTATAAACAAATACAAGAAGCTGCACTAGAAGGATCATCCTAAAATATATTTTAACATATCCATATGTCATTGTCTGCTCTCAGTATATCGACATATTTTATTTTATTTGGGACGCTTGCCCTAAATAACATGCCTTTGCTACCGGAAAGTAGCGATCCGCGGAAATATATGCGATATGATTATTAAAAGGACTGCTAAATCCGAAACTAAAAGAGAGACTTTACTTTCGAAGTTTCACGGTTGTTGGTCCCGTCCGGGTAAATAGTGCAAAGAAGCAAATTATGANATTGATTGATTGATTGATTGATTCATGCATTGATTGATTGAAGGTCCATGCAAAGCACTGGCGCCGGTGGTTCTGGTTTGGTGGTGCAGTGTTTGGTCTGCTTTGGTTTATCACCAATTTCGTCAATTGATGTGCTTGTATCTAGTTCTTAATCCACTTTCGTGCCCAATAATGTCATTGTACCATGTACACTATTGTGCTCACTAAGTTCACTCGTGCTCAAGCCATGAGGAAGCCGGTATCACTGCGCGCCATTATGCTCGTTTACGTACACTATGTGACAAACTTTGTTTTACATTGTGTCTCTTTGAAGCCTCAAGTGCTTGTGCTGTTAGTAATGGTGGATGCAGCCATTTTTGTGTCGCAACACAATCTGGTTACGAATGCGTTTGTCCCACTGGTTTGACAGTAAAGCAAGATAACAGGACCTGCGAAGACAGTAAGTCTACTNGCCGATGGTTCTGCTTTGGTGGTGCTGCTTTTGGTCTGCTTTGGTTCATCAGCAATTTCGTCAATTGCTATGCTTGTGTCTAGGTCTTAATTCACTTTCGTGCCTAATAATGTCATTTTATCATGTACACTGTTGTGCTCACTAAGTTTATTAGTGCTCACGCCATGAGGAAGCCGGTATTACTGCGCGCCATTATGCTCGTTTACGTACATTATGTGACAAACTTTCTTTTACATTGTGTTTCTTTGAAGCTTCAAGTCCTTGTGCTGTTAACAATGGTGGATGCAGCCATTTTTGTGTCGCAACAAAATCTGGTTATGAATGCATTTGTCCTACTGGTTTGGCAGTAAAGCAAGATAACAAGACCTGCGAATACAGTAAGTCTGCTGAAAAAAAGTGGAAGCATTGCGTCTGACGACGAAGAATACAGTTAGCGATTTTACTCCATGCTACCCAGTCTAAAAAACCGCAAATTAGATCGCAACTCGCACATTAATTCAGTTCAAATGGAAACAATTGCTTTTCGTTGCCAAGCCGGGAACAAGGTCGACTTTTTTTTATACAGAAAAGTAACTCCTGAATTATCTTTAACTATATTATACCCGTGTAACAAATTTAGTATGAGCTTCTATACAAGTTAAGCGAAATTTTCAACATTTTTTTTAAACCAGACGTTTATTCATGTTGTACTGTCCTCAACCCGCCAAGTGTAGTTTTAAATACTTCTTTGTTAAAGGTCGCCTCAAACCCATAGTCTTCACTCTTCCTCTTGAGATCCAAAAATAAGTTTGCTCTAATGACTCCTTTGACAAAAAAGGAGAAGAAAGTATTAGAGATTTTGACCCTGTCAGGGCTGTACAATAAGTATTTCTACATCACCGAGAGAAAAAAGTCAAGCCGTCAAATCAAGGTATGTGTTTTCATTTACTTCTTGTAATTCTTATCGTAGAAGTAAAGAAGTTTATCATTTTTGCTGACGCCGACGCCAAATCGACGAATATTATTTCACTGGATGTTAACTACTTTGTGGTACAAACTTTGTTTCGTCATCTTGGAAATCAACGCCCAATAGCTTTGGACTTTGACCCCGTTGAAGAACGTGTGTACTGGTCAGACATAGCAGAAGGTCTCATAATTAGCGCTTTTTTCAATGCAACTGCTGTGAAAATTTTGTTTCGCTGTAACGTGAAGAGTCCTGAAGGCTTAGCCATTGACCACGTGGCAAGAAATATTTACTGGACTGATACAGGGACCAATAGGATTGAAGTGGCTCGGCTTCATGGAACAAGCAGGAAACTGCTCATCAAAGATGGACTTGATAAGCCAAGAGCGATAATTCTGGATGAGACAAATGGGTAAGTTAATCGGATGCCGTAAAATTGGAAGGTCGTAAAGTAATTCTTTCAGCATTGTTCTTTCTGTGAGGTGAAATCAGCCGGCGTGACATACGATAAATATTCGTCCCAGCATTCTTTTCAAGATAACATAGCTAATAGCATTTGCTCATAATAGTGCAGATACTGTATTATTTGAAGCGAAATTGGTTACTAAAATAGAACCTCGATTTAGTTTAGTTGATTTTGTTTTTTGGTCTTTGTTAATTAACACCACTTTTTGCTCTTTCACGTGATTTTGTACTTTTATTAATTGTCACTTGTAATTACGTAACCACTAGCACCTTAATCTTATTTAAAGCTCGTTTTTATTCAAAAGTTGTAATAAATGAAGGTCTCTGACCGAAACGTTTTTTACTAAATTTTTTAATCTTTTTTACGTCAGAAGTTGTCCGTCCTCACAATTTTTTAACTTTCTATGTATGTAGGTAGGTAGGTAGGTAGGTCGGTCGGTCGGTCGGTCGGTCGGTCGGTCGGTCGGTCGGTCGGTCGGTCTTTTTTTTTCTTTCAGCTCGTAACCACTCCCAGGCAGAATAATCTTAGCGAATTCACAAAAAAAACTTTCCTGCTAGGTTTTCGCCTTGATTCGGGCAAAGCCCGAATCCAGGCTAAGCACACAGCGACCTTAAACCAGGGAGGGCTCCGTCAAGGCCAGGCTGGGCACATGGCCCAATGACTGGTCTATCTGCTGGGGGCTTGCTGGGGACCAGCTGTCAAAAGCAGGCGGGGGAGGGTGTCTTGTACTGACACCCCCAACTAGCTAGAATTTGGGTTTTCAGTGTTAAATAAGATTGTAATTGACCGTGTTTCTGGGTATTTTACTCAGTTGTTTGACCTTTTTTGAGGCTTCTGTGTTGACATGGCACTCTGCTAGAGTGGTCCATGCCACGTGCATGCGTGAAGGGCCAATCTCCTAGCCAGGGGGGTTGTCAGAGGACTTCTGGCCGCTGGAACTGTCTCTGAGTCAATGCGGGCATGTTTTTGCGAATTCGGTTAGATCTATTTTTTCACCCTAATTGAATGATACCACTACTTCAATATTTAAAATCAGCCATCAGCCGATCGATAATTTGTCCAAGGAGGAAAAGCTTTTCATACTTAGGCATTCATTCAACTCGGATATCGATGGATGTATTAACCTCTTGTATTGCTGCGCGCCCCTTGTGTTCTTGCCTTATTCCGTGTTCAATCACAAAATGTTTCCGTACTCTTTGACGCTTTCAGCACGATGTACTGGACAGATTGGGGCGCCAGTCCAAAGATCGAGATGGCGGGGATGGATGGTTCAGCGAGACAAGCCATTGTAACTGGAAACCTTGTTTGGCCAAATGGACTTACTATCGACCAAACGACAAACCGTCTCTTCTGGGCTGATGCCAAACTAAACAAAATTGAGACATCAGACCTTACTGGAGGAAATCGACAGCTTATATTGTCATCTGGGAACAACATCCATCCTTTTGGCCTAGTTGTGTACAACAGCATGCTGTAGTGGACCGATTGGAATATCTTGAGCGTTTCAAGCTTCAATTTAGCCAGTGGAAATCAGGATGTGATGGTAACTGGCCTGCAACTGCCGACGGACATTCACGTGTTTGATCCTTCCCTAATATTTTCAGGTTAATTATTGGGATTTCTTAGTCTTTAAACTATTAACAGTACATAGTATATGAACCTAAAATGATTACTTTCTTTTTGCTAATGTCATTTAAGAGTTGCTATGCACTAGTGTAAAACTTTTTTTAGCTTTTATAATTACCTGACATCAGGAAAGTTAGAAAAGCAAATGACAAAATACAAAGGATCCAAAAATCCACCTGTTTCTTGTTCTTTCTGTTTTTGTTGTTGTTGTTGTTGTTGTTGTTTTTTTTCTGAATCGAAAGTTACACAGATAATACATTTCTGAATTTTTCTACCATCGCGGATGAACATATCTATCTGGTATGTTGCTTTGCGTTCAGAGACGCAGACTCTAATAGATCAGCGTCAAAGACATTGCAATTGTAACATAAGTCCGAGGCTCTCAAGACTAAGCTCTAAATTTTCCACTTCTTCATTGCATTCAGATCTCCTCTGGTAAAAAGGGGAGTTTAAAGGGTTTTTTTTTTTTTTTTTGGTTCTCTGGGACCTTGAAGTCTTGTTAGAAGACTGAGATATTGAACGTTGACTATTGCATCGCTTAATTTCTATGTCATTAGGACCCCATAATTGTTCTCAAGACAATGGTTTATGCAGCTATTTGTGTCTTCTAAAGCCAGGGGGATTTCAGTGCGCATGTCCAACGGGTATTGCACTCAAGCCGGATGGGAAAAACTGTGATTATGGTAAGGATGCTCGAGTATTTCCGCAATGAGTTACTTTTTGTGTTCCCCTACATTTGTGCTAAGTTTGAGCGAAATCGATGATTTGAGCTGCGTCACCACCTGTATTTTTTCTGCTTGGTTTTCTTATGGACACATTCTGAAACATCCTAGGCTATCTAATGCGACAGATATTCCATGATTTCTTTACTGATCACACCTTTTTTCTTTTTTTTTTTTGCTTTGTTTTTCCCCCATTAACTCCAAGGTTTGTTTTATAAGAGAAGCTCTGAAAAATTTATGATCTTCGCTGAAGCCGATTCCGGAGAAATTTACATGGTTCCTCTCGCGGTAGAGGAAAATCCTTGCCTTCCCCTCGAAATCAACACAAACATCTCAAGACCGGTGGCAGTTGATTATGATCCAGTGGAAGGAAAGATTTATTGGACAGATGTTACCTTAAAACTGGTGGCTAGGGCCTTCCCCAACGGGTCTTCGGTGGAAATCATTGCGCATAATAATGTGGAGACACCTGATGGGCTGGCATTGGATTATGAGGGAAGAAATATTTACTGGACTGATGCAGGGACAAGTAAAGTTGAAGTAGCGCGATTAGATGGGTCATTCAGAAAGAGCCTTATCACATCAAACATTGACAAGCCAAGAGCTTTAATCCTTCATCTGGTAGAGAGGTAATTCGGAGATGCAGAGTTCTAACTGATTGCTTTTAGTCCATGTTATAGTGACTATCATCTAAAATGAGCTCACTGCGTAATCTGGTGCAAAAGCTGCAGCATTTGGGATAAGTATGTTGAACGTTATTATAGAGACACGAGGTTGTTCAGGCTGGAAGATAAACCACTCGTAAAATACATACGCAACTAGTTATATAACATCTTTCCTCCAGGTAGTTTCTCTCTGTAAACTTTCTTCAACTCACATATCATGACGGTGTTTGTTAAGTCGTTTGCAAAAAAAGGACTACCCAACCAATCATATTCGAGTTGTTTTAATTATCAAAATGTCAAATTTTATCCTTCTAAGTTAATTAAATAATCGATTTTGTCACTTATTTTCTTAAGTCTTTTGGACCTTTATCATGTTAATCTTTTCGCAGATTTTCTTAATTAACGTCATAATGCGCGAAGTCGTTTAGACAGAAATCACTACAAAGTCATTAAAATCCCAGGGAAAAAAAAAAAAAATCAAAATACAAATCCAGTATCCTGTTTATTTATGAAAAATTTGTTATTTAGAAAGATGTACTCGAGTGACTGGGGATCATCACCAAAAATTGAACAAGCCAACATGGACGGTTCCGCCAGGACAGTTCTCGTTAGCTCCGGACTTGTGTGGGTAAATTCACTAGCCCTGGATTTCGAAAACAGACTGTTGTATTGGTGTGATGCTAGCCTTGATCAAATAGAAAGAGTTGACTTCCAGGGAAACAACCGAGTGCTCATACTTGATTTATCAACTGATAACCTGCATCCGTTTGGACTGGCCCTAACTGACAACGTTCTGTACTGGTCTGACTGGAACAACCAAAGTGTCCACAAATACAACATGACCTCCTCTCTCAGTGAAGTATTGGTTCAGGGAATGGGAAGGCCAATGGAATTGCATATTTATGATAAGACAAAAATCTTTAACGGTAAGCCAGCATCGATTTGATAAAATGTACATTCCCTGGGTGTCCTCCCGGGGGTCAAGCGCTGAACTGTACAGGTAGAACGAAGTGAGTTGGTGCCCATTGACAGTTCACAAAGTATGTTTTGTTAAATTGTTTGTTCATTTATTAGATGAACAAAATACGAGAAACGTTTTGGAAGTGTTATCTACCAAGTCTCTCTTTAGGTTAAGTCCTCACGCTTATTTCAAACTTATGAAACTAAAACAAAAGTGCCCAAGTAATAACCTACTGTAATTATACGCGACTTTCATTGCTACTACAGCGTGTTGTGCGTACGTACTGCCTCGCAACTCTACTTACCCAGTCGTGAATTTTTTTGTCCAGTGTATGTTTCAGGCTTCAATGTCTGTTTCAATCTGTATTTACGGTTCTAACAATCTTATATCTTCCACGTTCTAGAGTTAAGCGATACATTTGGAGGAGAGTGTGGAAGACATTCCGTCTTTACTCGCGTCTTCCTTTTGAACTTTGAAAGAAAAAAGAAAAAAACATAGGGACCATAGAATTAAAAGGAAAAAGGGCAAGTCCCGCTTTAGTCACGCGTTAAGTTCGTCGTGAAATATATGCATTTTTTAAACGCAAAGCCAAGACAAAAAAATAACAAGGTAGCTCTCTCTTATCTCATAGGGTCAACCAGCTGTTCTCAACTTAATGGACACTGCAGTCACATCTGTCTTCCAAATCCACAAGGACATCAATGCTTCTGTCCAGAAGGAATACTGCTGAAGTCTGATGACGCCCTCACTTGTGAAGGAGGTACTACTCCATGCTGACTGTCAAATGATGCTCGAATATTCCTGCGTGCAACTTTATTAAGCAGATTCAAACCAAGAATGGATGTTGAGTTTCATGGGCCATAAGTTTTCACTTTTAACCACTGTATAGTAAGACCAAAAGTAGAACATCTTGACTAACGCACAGTTCTCTGCCAAGATCGGCTAAAAATCTCTAAAAAGCATTTTCCTTGAGTACATGTTCTAGGGAAGTACATACTAGTTACGCAGTGGTGTTGAGTGGAGCATGAATTCAATGTTTTAATTTTGTGAAATAGTGAACCGCTGCCCACAGCTTTCGGCACCACTCCACGGCAGTCTAGAGCCTTGTTCCAATTTGCCAGGAAAAACTTGTCACTTGTCCTGTGAAAGAGGATACATCCTGAATGGGTCACCAGCACGGACATGCAACAGCGATGGGACATGGACCGGCACTCAGACTCAGTGTAATGGTGAGTGTGTTATTGTCCCTTGATAAAAAAATACAAGAAATAAATGAGAAAAACTCGATTATGCGAATGAGCAAGATATATGTGCGCGATATCTTTCCCCGTTGTTTTCTTTTGTTGTTGTTTTTGTTGTTGTTGCTTTTACGAAACTCCTCTCGTTACATTAATTTGAGAAAAGGGTGAAAGCCCGCTTCTCGACTAGTTTTGTTTAAAGCTAGAAAAATATTCTTTTTTTCACACGATTCTTGGCAAGCTACGTATATCGGAGACTATATCTATATTGAGTAGATGTTACATAACAAGAAGTACCTAAACATGTATATCGCATCGTGAGTGTTAATATTACACTTTTATTGAAGCATGCTTTAATTGCAAGCAACGTAGCCTTACGTATAGTCAATTAGACTACTGCTAATAAGCACCAACGACCAAAATATTCGTGCTATGGCTTTCAGCTGTTACATGTCCAGCTTTACCAGCACCGTCCAATGGCATCAGGCAANAATCTGCCGGGATAACATACGATAAATATACGTCCCGGCATTGTTTTCAAGATAACACAGCTTATAGCATTTGGTCATGCATAATGTTGCAAATATTCTACTATATATTTGAAGCGAAATTGGTTACCACAGTGGAACCTCGATTTAGCGAACCTCTATATATTTAACGAGGTCCTCGGTATAACGAATGTTGTTCTTCGATCCAGTAATAGTAAAATGTATGCAAACGAACGTACCCTGATATAACGAAACCTCGTCCTAGCGAACATCATTCGCCAGTCCCTTTGCCCTTCGTTATATCGAAGTTCCACTGTGCATTGAATGGCGGTATATATATATTTATCGACATAGTTTCACCTCGTAGCCACCCCCAGGCGGAATAAAGTGAAATGTTGTAATTTTTGGTTTACCCAAGGAAAATGTAATCTACGGTATATTAATGCATATATATTTTTTTCCCATCCTAATTGAATGATACCACTACTTAAATATTTATAATCAGCCATCAGCCGATCGATAATTTGTCCAAGGAGGAAAAACGTTTCATACTTAGGCATTCATTCGACACGGACATCGATGGATGTACTAAATTTTGCACTGCTGCGAGCCCCTTGTGTTCTTACCTTATTCCGAGTTCAATCACAAAATGTTTCCGTGTTCTTTGACGCTTTCAGCACGATGTACTGGACAGACTGGGGCGCCAGTCCAAAGATCGAGCAGGCGGAGATGGATGGTTCAGCGAGACGAGCCATTGTAACTATAAACCTTGTCTGGCCAAATGGACTTACTATCGACCAAACGACAAACCGTCTCTTTTGGGCCGATGCCAAACTAGACAAAATTGAGACATCAGACCTTACTGGAGGAAATCGACAGCTTATACTGTCATCTGGGAACAACATCCATCCTTTTGGTCTAGTGGTGTACAATAACATGTTATACTGGACCGATTGGAATAAAACGAGCGTTTCAAGATTCAATCTAACCAGCGGAAATCAGGATGTGATAATAACTGGCCTGCAAATGCCCATGGACATTCACGTGTTTGATCCTTCCTTAATATTTTCGGGTAAAATATCCGCATTTTTTTCTCTTTAAACTATTAACAGTACATGGTATATGAACCTAAAATAATTATTTTCTTTTTGTTAATGCTATTTAAGAACTGTTATGCTCATTGTGGAACGGTTTTCAGCTTTCCATAGTTACCTGAGATGGGAAAAGCTAGAAACTTTAAAATAACAAAATGCAAAGGATCCAAAAATCCACTTGTTTCTTTTTTCTGGGACAATGCTTATTAAACAAATGGTACGTTTCTGAATATTTCTAATATCACGGATCTTTGTCTGACATTCTCCTTTGCGTTCAGAGACGCAAATTCTACTCGACCAGCGTCAAATACATCACAATTCTAACGAAATTCCGAGGCTCGCAAGACAAAACGCTAAATTTGGCCACTTCTTCTTTGCATCCGGTTCCCCTCCGGGAAAAGGGGTTTAAATGATTTTTCTTTCCCTAGGGCCTTAAAGTCTTGTTAGAAGACTGAGATATCGAGCGTTGACTATTGCAATGCTTTATTTCTTTATCGGTAGGACCTCATATTTGTTCTCAAGGGAATGGTTTATGCAGCGATTTGTGTCTTCTAAAACCAGGAGGATATCAGTGCGCATGTCCAACGGGTATTGCACTCAAGCCGGATGGTAAAAACTGTGATTATGGTGAGGGTACTTAAGTATTTCCGCAATTAGTCACTTTTTTTGCCAAGATCATTCACTCACTAGTTTAAGTGAAATCGATGATTCGAGCTGTATCACCACCTACCTTTTTCTGCTTGGTTTTCCTATGGACACACTCTGAAACATTCTAGACTATTTGTTGCGACAGACATTCAATGATTTCTTTACTGATCACAATTTTTTGCTTTATTTTTTCCCCATTAATGTCAAGGTTTGTTTTATAAGAGAAGCTCTGAAAAATTTATGATCTTTGCTGAAGCCGATTCTGGAGAAATTTACAAGGTTCCTCTCCCGGTAGAGGAAAACCCTTGCTTTCCGCTCAAAATCAGCACAAACATCTCAAGACCGGTGGCAGTTGATTTCGATCCAGTGGAAGGAAAAATTTATTGGACAGACGTTACCTTAAAACTGGTGGCTAGGGCCTTCCCCAACGGGTCTTCGGAGGAAGTCATTGCGTATAATAATGTAGAGACACCTGATGGGCTGGCATTGGATTATGAGGGAAGAAATATTTACTGGACTGATGCAGGAACAAGTAAAGTTGAAGTAGCGCGGTTAGATGGATCATTTAGGAAGAGCCTTATCACTTCAAACATTGACAAACCAAGAGCTATAATCCTTAACCTGGCAGAGAGGTAATTCGGAGATGCAGAGTTTTAATTGATTTGCTTTTCAGTCCATCTTATAGTGACTATCATCTAAAATGAGTTCACTAAGTAATCTGGTACAAAAGCTGCAGCATTTGGGATAAGTATGTTTAACTTTACTATATAGACACGGGTGTTTTCAGGCCGGAATATAAAACACTCGTAAAATACAGACGAAAATACTTATATAACATCTTTCCTCCAAAGTGTTTCTCCCCAAAAACGTTCGTCAACTCACATATCATGATGCTGTTTGTTAGGTCGCTTGCAAAAAGGACTACCCAACCAATCAGATTCGAGTTGTCATCAGGATCAAAATGTCATATTTTATCCTACGAAGTTAATTAAATAGTCGATTGTGTTATTTATTGTCTTACGCCTTTTGGACCTTTAGCAGGTCAATCTTTTCGAAAATTTTCTTTACCAAAATCATGATAGCAAGTCGTTTAGACAGAAATCACTACAAATTCATTAAAATCCCAGGGAAAATCAAAATACAATTCCAAATATTCTGTTTTATTATGATAAATCTGTTATTTAGAAAGATGTACTGGAGTGACTGGGGATCATCGCCAAAGATTGAACAAGCCAGCATGGACGGTTCCGAAAGGACAGTTCTCGTTAGCTCCGGACTTGTGTGGGTAAATTCACTAGCCCTGGATTTCGAAAACAGACTGCTGTATTGGTGCGATGCTAGCCTTGATCAAATAGAAAGAGTTGACTTCCAGGGAAACAACCGAGTGCTCATACTTGACTTATCCTCTGATAACCTGCATCCGTTTGGACTGGCCCTGACTGATAACGTTCTGTACTGGTCTGACTGGAAAAACAAGAGTGTCCACAAATACAACATGACCTCCTCTCTCAGTGAAGTATTGGTTCAAGGAATGGGAAGGCCAATGGAATTGCATATTTATGATAACACAAAAATCTTTAACGGTAAATCAGCTTCGATTTGATAAAATGTACATTCCCTGGGCGTCCTTAAACTTTCTTTGCGGCGGGGAGCGCGCGCGCAGGGGGGAGGGGGGGGG